CCTCCTGGAATGCTGGGATTATAGGCGTGAGCCACCGTGCCCAGCCAAAAGTTGAATTTTTGTGTTTTTTATTTTTTATTTTTTTTGAGTTGGAGTCTCACTCTGTCGCCCAGACTGGAGTCTGGAGTGCAGTGGCCACTCCCGGTCACCACAGCCTCGACCTGCTGGGCTCCGGTGATCCTTTTGCCTCAGCCTTCCGAGTAGCTGGAACTACAGGCGCGCGCTACCACGCATGGCTCATTTTTTGATTTATTGTAGAGATGAGGCTTCGCTGCCCAGGCGGGTCTCGAATCCGCGGGTTCAGGCAATCCACTCACCTCAGCCTCCCAAAGGCACGGGATTACAGGCTGAGCCACTGAGCCCAGCAAAAAGTTGAATTTTTAAATAACATTCTTGAAAGATGTTATGAACATGAGAAAATGTTTACGACTTTATAGTGATTGAATAATCTGCAGGCAAAATGAATATGCAATATAATCTCAACTACATGCCATCTATAAGCATTGAAAGAATGGTGAAAACGTTGAGTGAACAGACAGATATGAGAAAGATAGAGCAAGAGAGGGAGACAGGGGCAGAGAGAGAGAGAGAGAGAGAGAGAGAGAGAGAGAGACTGAACTTACATGAGCTCCTTCTGTGTCAGCCACAAGACTGTTAATTACAGTCATTAAAAATGACCACCTCTTCTCAGAAGGCTTGCTAGACTCCCTGATCATATCCCTTCTTTTCTTTCATATTCCTTTGTCCTACCTTCCTCATACTGATTATCATCACGTGTTGCAACCATTTGCAGATCTGTCATCCAGAAAGAGTCTGAGGTCCTTGATACAAGGAGAATTGTCATATTAAGCACTGTCTTCCAGGGCTTAACATATAATAGGCATTAGAAATGTGGGTTAGTCAAATGGATAAAGTATTTATGGACGAACAACAATCTTAACTTTACTGCTGATCCTCATTTAAAAGAACTCTGACCTTGAGTTTTTTTTCAGGTCTGAAAAAGAAAATGCATAGCTATGACTCTGTCTTCTCCAATTTGCACAGCACATTCAGATTCAACTACAGGGAGTTACTCTAGCAGTCTTTGGGACCCTTGCTACTAGGCTTGCAACCTAACTATTTTGGAAATGAGCCCCTTTGGTATTTCATTAAAGTCCTTGCGTGACAGCTAAGGATGAACCACCTTTATACCAAATTTCTCTATCTAGTCAGTGATGTAGTAAGATTTTACACTATTTGTCTAAATCTGTAAATCTCACTTTTCCAACATAGAAGAGAGTAACAGGGAATATTACTTAATTATAGTAAATTAGGCACAGGTTTTGAAAAATAAGAATATCTGTTTCGTTTTGTTGTTGTTTTTTTTTTTAGTTGGAGTCTCACTGTGTCGCCCAGACTGGAGCGCAGTGGCCGCTCCTGGCCACTGCAGCCTCGACCTGCTGGGCTCCGGAGGTCCTTCCGCCTCAGCCTTCCAAATAGCCGGAATTACAGGCGTGTGCTACCATGCCCGGCTGATTTTTTGATTTATTGTAGAGATGAGGTCTCGCCAAGTTGCCCAGGTGGGTCTCGAACCCGCGGGCTCAGGCAATCCACTCACTTCAGCCTCCCAAAGGCGCGGGATTACAGGTTGAGATTACAGGTTGAGCCACCGAGCCCGGCTGAGAAATCAGAATATCTGTAGTGTTGATGTGAAAATAGGTAATACAATTAAAGGTATCTTTACTACCTTTGAATTCAAGAGGTTCTGCAGAATTTGGGTAGTCTGTGTGAGAGGGTTACCAAATAAAACTACTTGTTTATGGAATAAAGATAATAGCAACCTCACAATTTGTGTAAATTAAATATGATTGTATAAAGGAGAGTTTCAAAATGTATTAGGTTATTTACCATATATATAAGGGACATCTGCAGTTTTTTTGCCTGCCTATCTAGCATCTATGTACTATCTATGTACTTCCATATTCATACAGAGAACCTCAGCTGACCCACTCTAAATCCATGTGATGCAGACAAGACTGCCAGCAAGTCCCTGCTTCAGGGTGGGAGGACAGATGTCCCCTTGGCCATTGTGATAGACTTGAAGCAATGAGACACACAATTCCAGGACTTTCTGGAACCAATGAAAGGTAGAAATTCTTTTATCTGGATTGTTAGTTATATGGGGGGGGGGGATCCTCCCCAAAAATGTAATTATCTTTTTGGAGGGCAGACCCCTTGTAGTACAGGATTCTCCTGCTAGGTAAGTGCTTTAGGAACCCACCAGCATCAGTACACCATCTAGCATTGTTGTGAGAAGCTGTGAGAGGCTTGAGTGATTTCCTTTCTTCTTCTTTTGCCCATTTCATAATGGGTAATTTACACAAACAACCGGTCCACACTGTATTGAGTGTTCAGCAGTTTTTGACCAAAGCCAGCATGACCCTCATGCTCTGCCTTCCCTATTCACCGATCTTTCCACAAGCGACTTTTTTTTGTTTGTTTCCCCAGGTGAAAAAAAGTCCTTAAAGTTAATGTTTTGCTAATATGGAAAAGATGAAACAAAAGCAGCAGAAGTACTAAAAGGCATCTAAACTGATGAGTCCAAAAACCATTTTGAACAATGGAAAAAGCATCTCAATAGGTGTATTGCATCAAATGGAGAGTACTTTGAAGGATACTGAGGTTTAAACATGTAAGAATAAATACATAATTTTAAAAAAATAAATTCTGGCCGGGCTCGGTGGCTCAGCCTGTAATCACGCTCCTTTGGGAGGCTGAGGTGAGTGGATTGCCTGAGCCCGTGGGTTCGAGACTCACCTGGGCAGCGAAACCTCATCTCTATAATAAATCAAAAAATCAGCCGGGTGTGGTAGCGCACATCTGTAATTCCGGCTATTCGGAAGGCTGAGGCGGAAGGATTGCCGAAGCCCAGCAGGTCGAGGCTGCGGTGGCCAGAAGTGGTCACTGCACTCCAGTCTGGGCGACAGAGTGAGACTCCAACTCAAAAAAAAAAAAAAAAAAAGAAAAGAAAACAATTTCACCTACAATAGTATAAAAAAAATAATAAAATGCTTAAAAATTAAAAAAAATAAAAAAATAAATTCTGGGTTTTGGGGAGGACTCACACTTGCAAAGATGAGGTAAGCCTGAGGCTGCAAAGACAGCTTTCTTGAAAATGAAACCAATATGATTAAAGCAGAGATGACATATAGAGACAGACTCCTATTGATATTGTTTGAATATTTAGATCCAGCCATACCTGTAGAAATATCCAAACCCTAGAATTTTCAGTTACATAGATCAATACATTTTCTTTTACGCTAAAACTAGTGTGCAATTGGGGTTCTGTAATCTACAACCAAAATAATCCCAACGAATATGTTATGACTAATATATTATAAACTCATCATGCCCCTGTAGTTCCAGCTACTTGGAAGGCTGAGCGGAAGGATCGTGGGAGCCCAGCAGGCCGAGGCTGTGGTGGCCGCGAGCAGCCATTGCACTCCAGTCTGGGTGACAGAGTGAGACTCCAACTCAAAAACAAAAGAAAACGAAACAAAAAACAATCTACTCCCATTTCATTGTTTAGGCGTATATTAATTAAATCTAATGTGGAAAGAGGCAGCCCTAGTCAAAAGTTAAAGAGGGAGTTGGGAAGTTATGATTCCAAATCTCTACTCCTGACACAAATTTTGGACCAAGAAATTAACATTTTTATTTGCAATATATTCTCAGAGTTCGAACATATACTCAAAGCATTTCATAAAAGGACCACCAACACTTACAGAAATTGTTTGCTCCACTACAAGTATAATTGCCTTGCAAGTGTTCTTAAAGTGTGTGCAAAGCATTCAGCTATCAGAACAGAGCAAGTTTTGAAGGAGCCTCTCCTTTTAACAGACAAGACAAATCAAAACATTTACCTTTGAAACAAAGTTTTCCTCTGGAAAGGAAAATGCTGGCCTTTAAAATGGCAACAAATGGAAAGACTGTAAGAAATAGAAACAAATGAGAATAAGATTTCTGAGGAATTTCCTGAGAGGGGATAAGCCTTAAGTCAATGTCAAGGCCTGGACTCAGATCAATTAGTTTGAGCAATCTGTTTGGGCCTACTAAGGGTGTCAAAGTGGCTCCCTAATATTTAACACACTTTTCAGGCTTTATACATACATATAGAAGGTTCTATAAAGGAAATCTAGAATTAGATGAGTTTATTTATTTTTATTTTATTTTATTTTACTTCAATTTTAATTTTTTTTTTTGAGTTGGAGTCTCACTCTGTCTCCCAGACTGGAGTGCAGTGGCCGCTCCCGGCCACCGCAGCCTCGACCTGCGGGGCTCCGGCGATCCTTCCGCCTCAGCCTTCCCAGTAGCCGGAATTACAAGCACGCGCTACCATGCCCAGCTGATAGTGTTTTAGTTATTGTAGAGATGTCTCGCCGAGTTGCCCAGGCGTGTCTCAAACCCGCGGGCTCAGGCAATCCAGTCACCTCAGCCTCCCAAAGGCGCGGGATTACAGGCTGAGCCACCGAGTCCGGCGTAGATATATAATTTTAAAGATGTGGAGTACAATTCAGGATTAGGTATACAAGTAGACATTGTACGGGAAAACTTTGAGCCTCCCTTTGGTCCCTACTTTGCCTGGTTTGAGATTAGGTGCGTTTATTGATGTTGTGTCCCATTCCTTGAGCATCTCTTTCAAGTGCAGAAGTCAAACGTGACTTGTATTCATCTTTTGTTATTGATGTATATTACTATAATTTTTTTTTCAGGTTTTAAAACTTTATTTGCATATTTTAAAAATTGTGCATTCCAATAATTAAAATCATTTGAACAAAAAAATGGCATCTGATTAAACTGCATTTCACAGCCTGCAGGACACCTTGGGCCACTTGATTGACTCTAGATTTCACTGTCGTCCCAGCCCTCTTCTTCCTTCACTAACATGCAAGCTCTTTTCCTTCCCTGCCAGCCAGACGGAAAATGGGAGAGGCAGGCGCGGCCTTCGTTGTCAGTAGTTCTTTGATGTGAAAAGGGGTAGCACAGTCATTTAAACTTGATCCAACCTCTTTGCATCTTACAAAGTTAAACAGCTAAAAGAAGTAAAATAAGAAGGCAATGCTTGTGGGATGTACAGTGCATACTGGCGGCGCTGGCCTCATTACGATTCGCCCGCTTGCTTCTCCTGTTCGATCGTTTCTTTGGAAGGCAGTGGGTTTTTCTCTTGCGTTTCTGTCTTCTTCAGTTTCGACTTATCGAATTTCTCGATCTCAGCCATATCGGGTTTGTCAGACATGGTCTCAGAGGGAGCAGAGAGAGGCTTTCAAGCAAGGGAAATCTGGTCTGCGCAGTGGCCAACGCCGAGTCATTACTATAATTTTAATATAGATTTTTCCTTTCTTAAAATGTGTATACATTTTGGGGTACTCTTTGCATTTTTTTTCAAAGAACATTGTCATTTTAATCTAAAATCTAACCTTGGGATATACACAGAGAATATCTTGTATTAAAATTTCAAACTAGATTTACACTCATTCTGAAAGTGTTCTAGGCTGGGCACAGTGGCCCAAATCTGTAATCCCAGCACTTTGGGAGGCCAAGAAGAGAGGACTGCCTGAGCCCAGGGATTCGAGACCAGCCTGGGCAACTTGGTGGGAACTTGTCTCTACAACAAATAAAAAAAATTAGCTGGGCATGGTGGCATGCAGCTGTAGTTCCAGCTACTTGGAAGGCTGAGGTGGAAGAATTGCCTGAGCCCAGCAAGTCGAGGATGCAGTGGTGGCTGTGAGCATGCCACTGCACTCCAATCTGGGCTACAGAGGTGAGACTCCAACTCAAAAATCAAAACCCGCCGGGCTGGGTGGCTCAGCCTGTAATCCTGCGCCTTTGGGAGGCTGAGGTGAGTGG